AGGTAATAGCAGCTTTCGGAAAGTCAGGCTGACTCGAACACCTTTTCGTTCTTTTTGACGAGGTATTCCATGAGTCCAAAGTTCATTTGTTGGGGAGCTTAAAATTAGTAAAGAATTATTCACCAGTTCTAGTCTATAATCCTGAAATTGTTGCCTCTTGAATACTATAGTCCGCGTTTCACCCAAACTCAGGGAACATACAGGATGATTACTATCCAAAGATGGTTCATTGTCCTTATGTTGTCCAATGCAAGAATTACCATCTTTGTATCGGTTGATAAGTACAAAATTAAAATTCGCACCACTCAAATGTTCGACTAAAGACTTGATTTCAAACAGTAGAGGGGTCCATGGCTGACATGAAATACTCATACCTGAAAACGTGTATGTAAGTCCTTGATCTCCAAAAGCAGCAATTTCTCGGGGAATCGGAAAAGATTTTCCTTTAGCACGTATTTGAGAATTCTCTTTAGGTAAATAAACAATATCTTTTTCTAACTGTTTTAATACCTCATCGGGTGATTGTAAAACACCTTCACAAAGTTTGATATTAAGACCATTATCCATACTGCACGGCGTAAGGTTCAAACAAAAAAAAAGTCTAAAGAAAAATAAGCGTGCTATCAACTCAAGAAACTTTTAGAGAACTGCTCTTCGGGGTAGTAATCAATTGTACCTCATGTTGGAACTCTTTATTTGGTCTTATCGCAGATAGGCTAATAGGTGATGACGTCTTTTCTTTTTTAGAGTAAGCTGATTGGTTAATAGGTATGCGAACTTTCACTTTGGCGGATGCGTACAAAAAGTAGAAAAGGGTGAAAAAGCAAACATCATCCTGTATTTTAAATTAAAAAAAAAAAAAAAGTGGGAGAGGGAAGGGATAGCATCTTTTTCCCAGCCAAGGTAACAAATGTACTTAATCAAAATTATATAATACAATATTCACCAATTACATCCTCTAAACAGAAAAATAAATAAATTAAATAAAAATTTACTCATCTCAGAGAGTGCAATTCTTCTTTCTTCATCATCACCAAGAAAGAAAATTGCTTACCTCATCACGGACGAACTTTAAATGACGTCACAAAATTTTATTTGGCTGTTATACTAATAATTGATCTCTGGTGTTAGAAGAAATTTTATAATGACCCCAAGGTAACGTATGGATACCATCTTCCATAATGAAGCGTTTAGCATCTGAATATGACAAAGCTAGCTTGTTTTGGCACACAGAATAAACATTATGGTGTTTTGATCTAATCATGTTCATGGTAGCAAACATAGACTCTTTCCCAAATAGACAATCTCTATAATTTTGAAAGCTGATTTTACTATTGACAGTTTTTTTTTTTAATTCCTTTTAATCTTTCACTTCATCTATCTCATTTTGAATTCTATTTATTGATTTTTTATTTAAGACCTAAAAACTCGGTCATAAACTTCCAGTGATTTTCATCCTTCATTTTTCCAAGCACTTTCTTATTAACTCTCGGAAGTCCAAAAATATTATTTTCGGGATAATCTGATGTATCATAAAAAGAAATACTTTCCTTTAAGTCTTCATAATAGTCCTCTGTCCTTATTTCATATATTAAAGAATCTGTGTCAGTATACAGTAGCGTTATATTATCTCCATACTTCTTCTTCATTTGATTATAATGGAAATCATTCATAAGCGTCTTGGACAGATCTAATATTGACATTCCAATACAAATTGGTTTGTTAAAAGTTAATTTTGTTTTCTTCATGTGAAATGCTGCAAGATTAGAGGAGAAAATTGTCCTGTATTTGAAATTTGGAGCAGACACAAGTTTTTTCTGCTGTTTTTTACCATTACTGCACAGTTTAATATCTACTCTTTTCCGGATATTCTCAATTGTTTTTCCAAATATTGCGTTGTTCATGAGTTTAAAGAAGTCTTTTTCAAAACTATTTCGTGCTTTGGAACGCAGATCTGTATTAAGGTTTATGTAAGGTTTCAGCCACTCCGATTGTTCAAATTTTAGAACTCTGTGAATTTTCTTTAAAACCATACCTAAAGCTATGTATTGTTTAAGGGCTTTGAAATGAAGCACATATCTTATTTTGGGTTCTAAGGTTAAAACCAAACGCTTTTCCCTAGAATCTGGGGGCACGATATTTACAGGTGCTAAAGGAAGATCAGAGTGTGCGTCATGAATATCCTCCGGATAATCTAAATCCACTTCGAGGATATATCCTTCACTTGAATCATTAGGAATAGAATTAATATCTGTTATAGTACACCACTGGTAATTTTTTAGAGGTAATTTCTGGCTCATGGCCCAACCGTATAAGTTATTTGCGTCCAAATATACTAAAAATAGCGATTCTTTTTTATCATCATGTTCATTCATATATTTATGGTTGGCTCTAGAATAGCGTTTAGAGCATTGAGATACGCCACCTCTTATCCCTTGCTCAATAAAAAGGAGCATGTCATAATCAACAAATAACTCAATTTCGACTTGAGTGCATTTAAGCATTGCATCCCAAGATAGACCTGGTGCCGTAAAATACCATGCAGGGTCTAATTCATAAGTTTTCAAACAAAGTGATCTGAATTGTTCAAAAACATCGCATAGTAAGAGTACATCAGTTTTAACGTACAAATCGGAGTATTCTCCCATGTTTTCTATATCGAAAGTATTCCAGACGTTTTTCGCATGTTCATAGTCGTTTTCTGTTACATGCTGCTCATTTAAAAGATTAAAAAATTTTTCTCTTGGTGGTAGAAATTTGTCTTCAAATTTCTGCATATCATCCATATAGTCATATGGGTAAATCCCTTTCCTAAGAAGTAAATTAACTTTGTCTTCCTTAAAATTCCTCCTTATATGTGTAAACATTTCATCTGTTAAATTATTCACTAGCGACTCAAGACTCGCCGGCATAAATCTGAATGTATCAATAAAAGTTAAACTTAGTTTCTCAGTCACTTTCTTCGAAAAAGAAATGTATCTTTCTTCGTTATTAGGGATTAACCGTATGAGGGCATCATCAAACGCTAACTCTCTAATGAAAAGATGAGCGTCGTAACCAGAGAGATTATGAAAAAAAAAACAGGTATAAAAGTTGGTAGCTGAAGTTTTAAATTGCATGATTGGTGAGCTGGTCCTCTATATTTACCGGTTATATGATCATGATCACAGACTTTAGGATCAGAAGCTATAGTAAAACGTTTTTTGCATAAATAACATTTGTTTGCTCTTTTATGTAGTTCTTGCGTCATAGAATCCAAAGGAGTCATCGGCTTTGGGTTGTTATATATATTTTCTATAAGTTTCGCTTCTCTTCTCAAGCAATCTAGAAATTTTTTAGGAGCGTCCAAACCTCTGTAAATTACTGGCGGTTTCTGGAATCGATTATCTTTGCATGCAACATAATAGGAAAAACTTACTGCAATATGTTTTTGTATAACATTCGTAAACGAAGTGCTTTGATTCGGTTGACATGTATCAACCTTTTGAACGATGCATTCAAAATCTGCATAAATAACAAAAGGAATGTGCAAGGAATGCTTAATATTTTTAAAGGTTAACCACTTTTCATTTTTACTTGGCATGATGACTTTACACGGTTTTTTAAGACTACACAATTCCTCATGTCTTGCAAGCGCATTCTCATTGCGAAAGAAGAGCAAACAGCGTCTACAAATAAATTTACGTCCTTTATATTTTTTGAAAGTTGGCCTGATACTAATCTAGAAAGGTTTCTGATTAAACAATAGTGAGCTCTATCTCCAGATTTAAAAAAAAGTAAATCGATATGTTTTTCTTTCGGATTGTTCGTAATAACTAAAGGATAAACAATTAAATCTTTATTAAATGAATATACGTTGATACTTACAGCGTTTTGCCTTTCAAATATTTTAACATCTTCTGGCTTAGTAGGAAAACTGATACCTGAAAAATTATAATAGTTTTTAAAAGGTATATAATGGCATACTCTATGGGGATTGCTTGCCACGGGATGCAAACCTGAAATCACAGCCCAGCGAAAGCACTCTTTATCAAAATTTCTAACATTGATAATGGCCTTTCTGCTTTGTAAAGCTCGCGGAAGCTCTAAATAAGTAGAACCGCGTAATGGTATATATTTGTTTTAGTCTTATCTCTAAATCGATAATTTCTTTCAGGGACCATCCTGAATCCTTTGCTTCCAAGTCTTCACTTTCTTTAATTAACTTATCAATGGCTTCATTAAAAACTACGCTGATATCTGTCGGTAGCAAAATAATTTTTTTTTCGTCTTGAATGCAAAATTTTTTTCAACTATTTCTTCATTAACTTTTCTTTCATATACACAATTAACTTGAAAATTTATTTTGACGCTGTTTTCTTTAAGCTTTTCTTCAATTAGATAATAAACTTCATTTCGTTTGGAATTTAGAAATTCCTTCAGTTCTAGGATATTTTCCATATTCCTCAAAGCGTAAGTGAGAAGTCTCTTATTAAAAGCATGCTCTTTTAAGAAATTTTCCTTACTTTTTTCTACCTCATTTACATTTGTTATTCTTTCTTCGCTCTTTACAGTATTTTCAGAAGGTCCATTGGTATTCGTTGTTCGAACTAATTGAGTATGAGCTTCACTAGTACCTCCTCCTCCTTGCGGATTTTGCTGTAACTGAGAGCTTACGGCAACTAATGCGACAGCCGCATCTTCAGTTAGATTCATTTTATCATTTTTCATTTCAGTTTCGTAAACAGGCTTTTCACTGTCTGGGCTGACTTTCCGTCTTTTTACTGTTTCAACAATAGCACATTTATCTTCATCATGCTTTCGCTTGTGGCGAGTAAGGGAGTCTAATCGTGTGTAACGTTTCTGACAAAATTCACACGCATGAACATTACCTAAGTGAACGCCATTTGTATGTCGATCAAGGGTACTTTTTCTATTAAATTTCTTCTCACAATATATACACACAAAAGCATAAGGTTTGTGAATGGATGCATAATGTCTTTTATAATTGAAATGAGTAGAAAAAACATTTTTTACACTCTTCACAATGATAAGTATTCATAATCTTTCAGTTGATGGTTTAGAATATAACAAAAATAATATAATTACTAGAATATCCACAGGAAAGAAAAAAAGCCTAATATCAACACTTTCAACTCACTTTCACTAAGTAGACCACACTTTCTAGATGCTTCTGATGATGGGTGAACTGCTAGGGAAGCCATAAATAGTGTCTTCAGCACAATACATTCAAAGGTATTGGTTTATCACTTCACTTCAGACAATGGCAACCTTCCTTTGTTCTTTATTTTTACACACCTGTTTGAAGGAGGAGAGAACAAAGCACTGTACTATGACGATGTTGTACAAACATCCTTTAAATGGTTTCACCCAGGTAGACCGAATTCCGAATGTAATCCTGTCTCTTTCAAACGATAGGACAAATCCTGTTGCAACAAGGCCTCCATTGTTAACTATTCTAATTTCATCTCCAAGGCCCCCATATGGTACAAGAGAAAGGACGTTTTCACTGTGGTCGGAATGTGAACACCTTTGTTATTCAAGTCCCATATCGTCATGAACCGCAC